CTTCCAAGGCAAGGTTTGGCAGGAAATATCCTAGCCTCCGTCCACTCTTCCGGCCAGCCCCCAGGAGATCCACCTTCCAACTCCCTCCCTGCTGCATCAGTTGGTGACATGGTTGTGGGAGCCCAGCCTGTGTTCTCAGATTGCTCAACAAGTTATATTTATAATCAATGCTACCATTTATTCAGGCATTAATTTATATAAGCTTCACAGAAACCCATTTTACTGATAAGGAAACTGAGGCTCAGAGAGGCCTGGTCATTTGTCCATAGCCACACAGCTCCTAAGTGGCAGCTCTGACATCCAACGCCTGGCCCGTCTGACATCAGAGCCCAGGAAACAAGAGACTTATAAGGATGACTGCCGCTGGGTACATGCCAGACCAAGCATGCTACTTTCTGCTGTTGTTTACATTCAGCAGGACCCAGAAACCAGGGTTCCAGAGCAATAGTCCCGGATCTCGGACACCAGAGTAGGGGTGGGGTCACTTCGGCCCTTTGATGTAATTTCTCCAGGCCCCTCTGGGGTGACAGTGCCAATTCAGACGGGGGGAGTATGTAGTGCCTGGAGGTCGTGAGACGTTTTTATTTCATCCTCCCTGTGCTTCAGGTTTGAAGGTACTTCTGCAGATGGCAAGGCAAGGCCTCCCCGGGAAACCACCATCTGTCCAGGATGAGCGGGAGGGGCTGGCCTGTCACCATCCACCCCTCCCACATGTCACTCGAGGCTGGTGGGTCCGGCACACTTTTCTCTGGGCACCTGTTCTGTCCTCCCTCAGGCTAACCAGGAGCTGGGTGGGAGGTGCAGGGGGGGCTCTGGCTGGAAGCCAGATCAGGCCTGAATCCCCAGTGGGGAGGCACCAAGGTACACTTTAACAGAGGGCGTGGGGCAGCCTTTCCGGTTGAAAGGCAGGAGCTGTGGAGCCGCTCAGCCGTGCTCGCTCCTACCAGTGTTGCCTGAGCCCCTGCTGTAGCCCAGCCTGTGCCCAGCGTGGGAATCCAACAGGGAGCAAGGCGCTCAGTCTGGACATGGGAACCAGCCGGTGCTTGTCACTGCCTGTCCAGGCATGTGGGGCTGGAGAGCCGGCCTCCCGGTCCTGGTCCCATCTCGGCCACCTCTCCTACCTCTCCCATTGCTGTGTGGCCTCACAGCTCCCTGCCCTTCTGTGGGCCTCTGTTCCACCCTCTGGATAATGACAGGGGAGTGAGATGTTCTCTGAAAACTGCACCTCCTTGATGTCCATTGTTTCCACCCAACATTCTGTGGTCAGAATCCCAAGATCCAATTCAGTGCCCGAAGGAGGTGAGGCAGAGGGCTCTTCAGGATCTTGGATTCCTTGCTGAAATTTGGGGAGCCTCCGAGGGAAGAGACCGAGGACAGGAGGACCTCCTTGACAGGCCCCTCCAACTGCTGAGCGCCTACTATGTACGAGGCATGGGCTAAGCTCTTTTGGTGAAAGGGTTCCAAGGATCCTCCCGCAGCCATGTGTGGTAGTATATGATGCCCAGTTTAGATCATGTAGTTTACAGCTGAGGACCCTGAGGCCCAGAGCATGAAGCAACTTGCCCCGGGGGCACCTTGCCCCGGGGAATGGCCAAGGCAGGATTCGAACCCAGGGCCTCTGCCTGGCACTGGCTCCTCACCACTGAGCCAGTGATCCTTAAACTTGACAGGAACATGAAAATCATATGGGGATCGTGTTTAAAATCCAGATTCCCTCCTCCCCTCCCCCGCCCCCCCCCCCCCCCCCCCCCCCCCCCCCAAGATTCTAACCCAGCCTGTCTGAGGAATGTGCATTTGAACAGGCTGCCTGGGGAACTCTGACACAGACTGTGTGAGGGCCTCCCTTTGAGAACCTGGGCCAGGGCCAAGATGGGGCCCCTCCCCACCTGGGCACCCCATCCCCACCCCGGCCCTGGGAGATCCTGGTCTGAGGAGGCGCTCTTCTCCCACACATGGCCCTGTGCTCTAATCTCAGCTTCCCATAAGCTGCTTGTCCTTTAAGTAGCCCTGGGAGGCAGCAACTCGGAGCAGGCTGGCGCAGACCCTTGACCACCCCTCCAGCTGGGCCCTGGGCTCCCCACACCCTCTATGTGGCACCTCAGGGACCTCCACCCCTCTGGCCTGCCAGGGCCAAGTGGGCCCATTGGTGTGGGGGGCGGAGGGGTGCTCTCAGGGAAGAGCTCCAGGGAAGGTTCATGTCTCTGCATGGGGAGGGGGCTCTCTGTGTGGAGTCCCATCCTTCCCAAACCCTCCTGCAGTTTCCATGGCAACTACTGTTGCCATGGTACTGCTGGGTGAGGAGCTGTTGGGGAAGAAGGTAGACCCCAGACCCCCAGGCCCACCCCAGCCTCTGTGAGAATAGATGTCCTACCTCCACAGCCCTGAGGGATCCCAAGTACTAGGGGGTCACCCCTGCAAAGGCATCAGCGAATAAAGGATGGGAGAGACAGAGACAGGAAGCTCCCACCCTGCTCGCTTCCCCCTGCCCCCGGTTAATCACCTCCCTCTCTGTGCTGCCTGGTGCACCTCCATTCCAGCACATGTCACATTGCATTGCATTATCTGTTTACTTCTGTCTCTCCCACCATGCTGTGAGCTCCTCGGGGTGGGAACTGTCTGACTCATCTCCTCCCATCCCCAGGGCCCAGCACAGAGCCTGGCACAGAGCAGCTGCTCCCAAATATATTCTAGACTGAATTTAATTGAATTACATAAAAAGCCAAGTCTGGCTCCTCAGGTTTAGAGGGCAGCAGAGTTTGATGGGAAAGTTTGCAGGCTCTGGAGTCCAACAGCACCAGGATTGAATCCCAGCTCTGCCATTCCTCATTGGGTGAACTTGGCCAAGTCACTTCACCTTTCTGAGCCTCAGTTGCCTCATCTGTAAAATGATCATTTCCATATGAGAGCACTTTTTGAGGACTTGGGAATTCAGTGCCCATTTATTAAGGACGTCTTGTGTACTAAGCCTTGTGCTGAGCCATGGGATACAGCGATAGACGGAAAGATGCAAGCCCACCCTTCTGAAGCTCAGAGTCTTGCACAAATGAAAAGCATTTGCCTGGCACCTAGAAATGATGGATAAATGCAGGATTTATCATTCTCCTTCCCCATAAGGTGGCTGACTCCTCCCCATTAACCTCTGCTCTCCCCAGAGGTGGGGCAAGGTGAGAACAGGGGATGAAAGAGGCCTCCCCAGGGCCCCCAGATGAGGCCTTGAACCCAGAAACCTGGGCCTACTCTGTTGTCCCCAAACCCTCTGCCCCAAACCTGCTTTGTGAGTCCGGGTCAGGCTCTGGGCTGGGGGCAGGGGATCCATGTTCATGATCTGGCTGTGTCCCAGCCCTATAGGATCTTTTTTAAAAAAAAATTTTATTTATTTATTTTTGGCTGTGTTTGGTCTTCATTGCTGCACGCGGGCTTTCTCTAGTTGCAGCGAGCGGGGGCTACTCTTTGTTGTGGCGCGCGGGCTTCTCATTGCAGTGGCTTCTCTTGTTGTGGAGCACGGTCTCTAGGTGCACGGGCTTCAGTAGTTGTGGCTCGCGGGCTCTAGAGCACAGGCTCAGCAGTTGTGGCACATGGGCTTAGTGGCTCCGTGGCATGTGAGATCTTCCCAGACCAGGGCTCAGACCCGTGTCCCCTGCATTGGCAGGCGGATTCTTAACCACTGCGCCACCAGGGAAGTCCCCCTTATAGGATCTTGAGTGTATCCTTTCCCCTCCCTGGGCCTCCATGTGCCTCTCCATGAATGAGGTGACTGGCCAGATCTCTGTGGTCCCTCAAGCTCTGGCCTCCTCCCCCCTTTCCTGAGTCCTGGGAATCCCATAACTGTGATCCGAAGAGCCTGATCCTTGGAGAGGCCTCCACCCTCCTTCTTGTGCTGGCCTGGGTGGGGCCGTGGTTGTGTGGGTGGGGAGATGAGAAGAGCTGACAGGACAGAGAGAAGTGTCACCCTCAAGAGTTAGCTGAAAGGACTGCTGAAGTTGACACAGCAGATGCCTGAGGAATAGACATCAGGTCTAGGGGCATGAGGTGAATTGAGGATGCCTCAGTCCAGTCCTTCAAAGGGAGCTGGGGGGCTTCCCTGGTGGCGCAGTGGTTGAGAGTCCGCCTGCCGATGCAGGGGACGCGGGTTCGTGCCCCGGTCCGGGAAGATCCCACATGCCGCGGAGCGCCTGGGCCCGTGAGCCATGGCCACTGAGTCTGCGCGTCCGGAGCCTGTGCTCCGCAACGGGAGAGGCCACAACAGTGAGAGGCCTGCGTACCGCAAAAAAAAAAAAAAAAAAAGGGAGCTGGGTCTTCAGGGAGTTGAAGGGCAGAAAGCTTTCACCAGAGAGTCAAACAGATCTGTGCTCAGGGTCTGGTAGATACTGGCTGGGCAACCTGAATGTCTCTGAGCCTCAGTTTCCTTGTCTGTAAAATGGGGATAATAACAGTGTCTCCCAGGAGATATTGCCCACGAAGAGCCTGGCATGCAGTAGGTACTTAAAGAGCATGAGTTCTTTTCCTTGCCTCCTCCTTTCCCCCATCCCCCTCATCCTCAACCCCAACCAGATGGGGCCAGGGAAGGGGAAGTGAGATGCTGCCTTTCCCCACAGCGGAAGGGGGGGAGGAGGTGCAACTCCGTTTCCTTGGCATCCACTCTGTGGCCACTGGACGCTTGGGCACGTGGGGTGGGGCTCCCCATGCCTCAGTTTCTCCTGAGTTGAATGGCAGTGGCCGGGTTGGGGCAGGGACTTCCTGTTGGCTCAGAATTAACACAGGGCAGACCTGAGAGAGGTCTGGGAGCCAGTTCAGAAGCACAAATTCTGTGACCCAGAGGATTTGGGGGTGATCTGTTACACCTTTCTCAGCTGCCCTCTTCCCATAGTGAAGCCCTTAGGCTAAGGTGTGGCAGGGAACTTTGGGCAAGCTTTGGGGCTCCCAGTGGCAGGACAAGTGCCCCTGGGACAGAGGGAGTCTCCTCAGACCTTGCCCCTCTTCTCACCCCCAACTCACTGCAGGGACTTCCTGCCCCGAGGATCTGGCATTGTCACCCGACGCCCCCTGGTCCTGCAGCTGGTCAATGCTACCACAGGTATGGGCTTCCCCTCTTTGGGCCTCATTCCCCATCCGAACAGCGGGGATAAAAATGCGTAACAGAGAGGTGGCTTTGCGTGGGGGGAGGGATAAGAAGGCAACGTTTTGTGTGTTTGTGTGTGCGGGGGTCTTTTCCCAGCGGAAGATGGGACCCAGGTGGGTGCCGGCTATTATGATGCTTACTCGCCCTTGCCCCCCCTCCTTCTGGGGCAGAATATGCCGAGTTCCTGCACTGCAAGGGGAAGAAATTCACCGACTTCGAGGAGGTGCGCCTGGAGATTGAGGCTGAGACCGACCGGGTGACTGGCACTAACAAGGGCATCTCTCCGGTGCCCATCAACCTCCGCGTCTACTCGCCGCACGGTGAGGAGACCAGGCCCTGGCCCCGCCCCCAGCCTCTTGGCTCCGTCTCTGAGCCCCGCCCCTTGGGAACCATCTTATTGGCCCCGCCCCTTAGCTGGCACCTCGTCAAGGGCTTCACTCCTCCTGTAGACTCCGCCCCCACAGCGACTCCTCCTCTGCGCGTCCTACCCCAGTCCCACACTGCCACGGCTCCGCCCAGCCCTGGCAGCGCCTCTAACGGGCCTCCGTTTAGCCCTTCGCTTTTCCCTAACCCCACCCACCTACGGCCACGCTCCCAAACAGATCCTCTTTAAGCCCGGCCCTGTTCCTTAATCCGCCCGCCCCCGGCCACGCCCCTCGCCTTGAGCGCGCCTTCTCGCCGCCCTGTCCAGTGCTGAACCTGACCTTAGTGGACCTGCCCGGAATGACCAAGGTCCCAGTGGGGGACCAACCTCCCGACATCGAGTTCCAGATCCGCGACATGCTTATGCAGTTCGTCACCAAGGAGAATTGCCTCATCTTGGCCGTGTCCCCAGCCAACTCCGACCTGGCCAACTCTGATGCCCTCAAGGTCGCCAAGGAGGTGGACCCCCAGGGTAGGTTTTCACAGGTAGCCAATGCGCAAGGCCCTGGGGGTCTATTCACAGCGTAAGGGGGAGCCACTGGAGGGTCTAAGCGAATAGGAGTGGGATCAGATTTATGCCTTTAAAAATCATTTTGGCTACTGTGGAGAATGCATGAGGTGGGGAGAGCAGAGGCAGGCAGTGGGCAAGGGAGGGAGTGGGCTGGGAGATGGGGGAATGGGGTGGGATTGGGAGTGCCTGGGGTCGCCTGTGTGAGGGCAAGTGCAGATGTAGACAACCCTCTCCTGCCACCCCCAGGTCAGCGCACCATCGGGGTCATCACTAAGCTGGACCTGATGGACGAGGGCACAGATGCCCGTGATGTTCTGGAGAACAAGCTGCTCCCGCTGCGCAGAGGTCGGCAGGCCACACACCTGACCCACCCCCACTGCCCCTCCTCGTAACACTGCCCCCCCACCCCCCGCAAGGCTGGTTGCCCCTGACCCCCACCCCATCCACAGGCTACATTGGAGTGGTGAACCGGAGCCAGAAGGACATCGATGGTAAGAAGGATATCACGGCTGCCTTGGCTGCTGAACGCAAGTTCTTCCTCTCCCACCCTTCCTACCGCCACTTGGCTGACCGCATGGGCACGCCCTACCTGCAGAAGGTCCTTAACCAGGTAGGGGCTCAGGCCAGGATGAGGCCTGGGGAAGCCTGCGTAACAGAATCATTTAAGCGTATTTTGTGAGGATTGCCCACTGTCCCACAGTGAGGTAGCACCAGAGCTTTGCTGACCGTTCCCTGTCCGGGGCCAGGAAGGGGAGCACTAGGAACGCCCCAGAATGGAGAGAAGTCCAAGACCTTGTGTGGACGGTGGCATTGACAAGGGCTTGGGCTTGGGGGCTAGGATGGGAGTATGGTTGGCTAAAGACCTTTGCTCCTTCTGAAATGGGGAGAGGCTGATCTGTGGAGGAGGTGATCCCAGGGGCTTCCCTAGGATGTTTCTCCATCTGGAATGGGGCTTCCAGAATTACTGAGGGGTGTGTGTGTGTGTATGTGTATTGACAGTAGGAAGGCAGTGTGGCATGGGACAAAACTGGGGTCTCTGGAGGCCACATACCTGGGTTCTAGTCTCAGCTTTGTCACTCACCCACCAAGACTCTCCAGGTCTCTGAGCCTCTATTTCTGCATCTGTAAAATGGTGATAATGGTGATGAGACCTGTTTCTTAGGGTCATTCTGCAGTTCAGGGAGATACTGCGTGTGGAGACCTAACCAGAGTGAGCCTCAGAACTTGAGAATTACCTTAAGGGAGGCCTTAAACCCAAAGGGCACAAGGGGGCAGTCTTCCAGCCATCACTGCCCCTGATTCATTTCATCTGGCTCTTGTGGTGTCTAAAACTATTAAATTAGTCAAGATCAGGCAATTTCAGATAAAAATCTAGATTTCTGGCTTCTACTGAAAATGGAGTTATTGACTCATTCATTCAATTAATACACCTCTGTGAGCACCTACTGTGTGCCAGTCCCTGCCCTCAGGCAGCTTTCATTCTGGTGTGCAGGACAGCAGTGGGCAGGGCTGTGGCTCTGCACCTCACCACATCCACATGAGCCCCAGACATCCTGGCCCCTGCTTGATCCTGTTGGCATTCTGGGTCTGTGACCATGGCCTTAACCCTTTCCTCGCCCCCACCGCCAGCAACTGACAAACCACATCCGGGACACACTGCCAGGGCTGCGGAACAAGCTTCAGAGCCAGCTGCTGTCCATTGAGAAGGAGGTGGAGGAGTACAAGAACTTCCGCCCTGATGACCCAGCGCGCAAGACCAAGGCTCTGCTGCAGTGAGGCCCTCCCCAACTCCTGACTCCCCATCATGGGGCTTCCCCTCCCCGCAGCCTCTCAGCACAGGGCTCTCCCAGGACTCCCTGCCCTGGGTGGCTGCTGCCCCCTCAGGTCATACCACTCTCTCCCCAGGATGGTCCAGCAATTTGCTGTAGACTTTGAGAAGCGCATTGAGGGCTCAGGGGACCAGATCGATACCTATGAACTGTCGGGGGGAGCCCGCATCAACCGGATCTTCCATGAGCGCTTCCCCTTTGAACTGGTCAAGGTAGGCAGACCCCCCAGGGGCAGGAGGGCTCAGGACTACCCTCCCACCCACCTACCTAAGACTCTCTCATGCGTACGTGTGCTGACCCCACTAGAGGCCCTGATGCCCAGCTCTGGGAGTGAGGTGGACCCTGTTTGACCTCCCAGGTAGCAGAACAGGCCCTGACCAGCCATCTCTTTGTCTCCTACACAGATGGAGTTTGACGAGAAGGAACTCCGAAGGGAGATCAGCTATGCCATCAAGAATATACATGGCATTAGGCACGTATTGGGACCGGGGAGGGGAGCTGAACCCTGCAAGGCAGGAGGGGTCTAGTGCAGAGACAGAGGGAGTGATGGAGTGAGCCTCCCTGAGGAAGGACCAAGAGCCCTACCTAGTCCCCAATCTCCTCAACCCTGACTTTCTGGCTCCCAGCTTGGACAGGCTCTGGATAGGGGAGGTGGATGGGAGACCCAGGCCATCCCCCTACCTGCAGCCTGCTACCCTCCTTTGCTTGTCCCTGGGAGCGGCCCGGAGGCTAGAACAGTGGGGTAGAGCCCGAGACACAGGTGGCTGGGGAAGCACCCTTCGGGCTTGGGCCCCCTGCCCATTCCCAGGGTAGGACAGCTCCCCCCAGTGCTATCCAGCACAGAGCTGCCCAAACCACTGGGGTAGGGCCTGGGCTGGTGCATCAGGTGTTAGTCTGTGAACCTTTTATGATGGGATGAGGCCTCTCAACCCTCCAGACCCTGCCACAGTCCCATTAGCCTGAAGTTGGCCCCATTCCACCCCACTTCCCTCCTGCTAGCCAGCCCCAAGGCCTGTGGAGCCGGGACAAAGGCTGGAAAATAGACTGTTCCTAAAAAGCTTAGCCCCGCTCCAGGGACCCAGATCTACACTGTCCATTCAACAAGAAAACTTAAAGCACCTGCTATGTGCCAGGCAGTGAACAAGACTGAAATGTCACTGCTTTCATGCAGGTTCAGTTCCAAGGTTTGGCATGGAATTTACAGACTGCATTGGCTAAGGCACAGAGAAGAAAAAAAATCTCTTTCCTAGTCTTAAAATAAAATGCTTTATTCCCAGAAAGGCTCTTAAAGAAAACCCAGTTTGACAGTTTTCAAACCATCTCTAGCCATAGAACATTTTGTATGAGCAGAATCTGAAGACAAAGCAGGACAAATGCAACAGTTATAAGCAGACCTTGTCTTGCCCTAAAAAGCTTCGACTGAAAGGCCTTCACCAGAATCCCTCCTGCCCATTTTACAGATGGGGACACTGAAGTCCAGACAGGGGTAGTGGGAGGACCCCGAGGGCAGAGCTCAGGGGGGCGGGGCGGGGCCCTGGCCTGGTGCTCCTGGCAGGAGCCGGTCTGTGACACCGTGCCCTTCTTCCGCTCCGGGCGTTCAGAACGGGGCTCTTTACCCCAGACATGGCCTTTGAGACCATTGTGAAAAAGCAGGTGAAGAAGATCCGAGAACCGTGTCTCAAGTGTGTGGACATGGTTATCTCGGAGCTAATCAGCACCGTTAGACAGTGCACCAAGAAGGTAACCAGCTGCCCGGCCAGCCCCTGCCTCTGCCCCGCCCTGCTCTGCTGCCAGGCCCTCCTTCCCCACCTCCCCCAGTGCCTCCTGGTAGCATGTACAGACCTCAGCGGGGTGGGGGAGGCAGGCCACCACAGTTCAGGAGAGGGGGATTCTCTGAGGGGGCCTCACCCAGCCCCGGCCCCCAGACCAGGGGAACCAAGGGATTAGACATTGGAAAGACAGGTATGATGGTGGTAATTTGCCCTGAGAGCCCACCAAGAGCTGCCCCAGCTCAGGGAGAAGAGGGGACCCTGAGCCCCCTCCCTGGTCTCAGAGGTGGGGTCATCTTTGGGGGCTCCAGGGAGGGGTCTTGGGGAAGTCTTGTCCCTGGAGACAGATGAAGTACAGGACCTTCTTGGGTGCTGCCCTAGGGGCCTGGAACACCAGAGGGATTCAGAGGACCCAGGTCAAGCAGGTACCCTGACTCCCCACTGTCCTTCATCTTCCCCATCTCACGCCATCCTCACTCAGGACCCTCACTCAGGACCTTCCCCGCCCCTTCCATCCACATCCAGCCTACCAGGGACAGAGCCCCCTCTGCTATGTCATTTGAGCCTCACAGAACCACTCAAGGAGGGCACGGCAGGGCAGGGAGGATGGCACCCACTTCACAGCAGGAAAACTGAGGCTCGGGAGATCAAGTGACTTGCCCGAGTTCATATGAGCTAGGAGGTGGCAGAGCTGTTACTTGGAGCCAAGGCTTTGGACTCCAAGTCCAGTGCCCCAGACTCCCTTCCTTTCCCCTCCCCACTGCTGCCCTGGCCCCTCTCTATCACCATCTCCACTCTTTCTGTCTTTCCTCTTCTCTCTCTCTGTCTTTCCAAACTGAGCTCCTCCAGACTCCTTAGGAGGAGAGGCAAAGGATGCCCCTTGAGGAGAAAGGGAAGGGCAGGAGTAGAGCAGGGAGCTGGAGAATGGCGATCAGGCGGCTACACAGCAACTCCAGGAGGCATCATCTGCCCCGTAGTCTATGGAAGTGGAGCCCCCTGGAGTTGTGCAGTGCACAGCCTGGGCAGCTGAATGCAACAACCTTGGTGGAGAATAGGGAATGGTGCTGGGCTTTGGAGTCGGGATGAAGCGAATACAGGAGGTTCTGGGAAACCTAGAATTGAACAGAATGTGGGTGAGTGGGGTCCTGGCCTGGGTCAGTTCCTCAGCAGGATGGCATAGGAAAAGGACAAAGAGAGAGAGGGCAGGCTCGGTGTAGCTGACGAGCGGGGGAGAGGAGGGAGGCAAGCCCTGGGGAGAGAATATGAACTCAGTAAGTGCCCTTGGATGGGGCAGGGGCTTGGTCCCTCAGACCCCTCCCACACCCTCAGAGCCCTGGGGGTTGCTTGGCAGCATCTGGGAGGTGCCGATCCAGGTGGGCAGGAGGGCCAGGTCCCACGCTCACATTGTCTTCTCTTCTGTCTCTCTTTCTCTGTGTCGGTGTCTCTCTCTTCCCTCGTGTCCGTGCCATCCTCCACCCCGGCCCCTGGCTCTGCTTGGCTTTCACTGCCCTCCTTCTCCTCGCCCGCCCACCCCGGCTGCTCCTCCCCTGTTCCCCTCCTCCTCCCCGGGTGCAGGACAGGCCTCTTCACACCTGACCTCGCTTTTGAAGCCACAGTGAAAAAGCAGGTGCAGAAGCTTAAAGAGCCCAGTATCAAGTGTGTGGATATGGTAGTCAGTGAGCTCACAGCCACCATCAGAAAGTGTAGCGAAAAGGTATGATGGCCGCCCGGGAGGGGCTGGGCCTGGCCACCCCTTCCTCATGGCCAGGGCCTCCCGTGGGCAAGAACCAACTGCTGAGCAAGCCCGGCAGCCTCTCAGCCACCCAGGTGGACCCAGACGCCCAGGCCGGCCCGGCTGATTCCTGGCCCCAAGGTCTCATGCCAGCTTCTAACCCTGGGTCTACTGTACTCATGATTCCTTCAGGCCCCCACCTCTCCCAGAAGACTTTGCTCTAACCCAAGCATCCTCAATGGCCGCTTTGATGGTGATGATGATAAGGAGATGGCCGCTGTTTATTGAGCACCTACTGTGTGCCAAGCACTAGGCTAAGTGCCTGCCCTTGTCATCTAACTTAATCCTTTTAACAACCCTAAGCAGTGAGTAGTCTTATCCCCATTTTACAGATGACAAAACTGAGTCTCAGAAAAGAATAGCACAGTGGGATTCAGATTTAGGGAGACTGAGGGAAGAGATCTGGGATCAGGGCCTCCTGGGGCAGGGGAGCTATCCCAGCCCCTCAAAACCAACTTGCCTAAAAGCATATTGGGTTACTCACTTTACTGTAATCCATACATGTTTGACAGGGTCAGCCTCTTTTGAGTCGTCCGTGACCTTTTAGATGGCTTTTTCCTATTTGTCTATTTTGGGGCATTTTGGGGACTTTTCGCCAGATCATCTAAAGCAGTTCTTCCCAGGGGCCTGCATGAGCCCAGCCTCACTTGTATTTGCAAAAGCTCCCTACACTGGGAGGTGGGGGAACATCTGCCTTAACTTCATGTTTTAAATAAGTATCACAGTTTTTGTGGCTCATATATAATTAGTCCTGTGCGCCCCTTACACAATCCTATCTCACTTTTGCCAAATGGGGATAGATTAAGCAAATTAGCATCCACTCAGTGCCTGATCCAGGTGGAATCAAATCTGGGCTGGACTCTCCCTTGCATAGTATATATCATGATATCTAAATCATGGTCCCACTGCATCATGAATACTAAGCAACGCAATCTTAACTTTTGTTAAACTAAAAAATACCAAGTTTATTTTAAGCTGCCTCAAATCTCTTTACAAAAGAACACAAAATATATCTAAATTTTTTTAAATTTGGGGTTTTCATTTTGAAAGGAACACATTCTCAATTAGAGAAAATTTGGAAAATGCCCAAGAGTGAAAAGGAGGCAACAACACTCCCTTTCCAAGAGCCACACTGAGATTTTTGTACATTTCCTGCAAATACACTCCTTTTTTAAAAAAATGAAATTATCGGTATTGATTTTGTTCTGATCATACATGATTGTTATCAAAATATTCAAACTGCACAGAGAAAGCAAAAGTCCCTATAAGCTCACAGCCCTAGAGATAAAGACTGCTAGCAGCACACCCTTCCTAACTATTTACAAATATACACTGGTTTTAACCTAAAAGGGATCACAGTGACCACACTGCTAGTGAACTCTTCTTTTTTACTGAGCAATGTGGAGTGGCATCCTTGTAGTAGCTACGTAAAGATCATGCCCTTGAACAGCTGAATTGTATTCCACTGTAGAAATATGACATGATTTATGTATTCAATATCCTATTGACAGACATTTAGGTTGTTTCCACTTTTTTTTTCTTTTACAAACAGTGCTGCAGTGAATAGCCTTATAAATATATTTGTAGTACTTATCCTGTCATTTCTTTAGAGCAAATTTCTAGCATAGAATTGCCTAGTCAATGGATGTGAGCACTCACAGTTTTGGTAACTTCTGCAAGATTTGCTCTCCAAAGAGTTTTCACCAATTTATTCCTCCAAACTCTTTTTTCTATACATAGGCTTATTTACTTTGTTAGGTATTTACACTGTGAATATATTAGTATCCTGCTTTTTCTCTTAATAACATACATTTTGGTGGGTGTTATTACATAGTCTATGTGAACATTTTTTAAAATAAATTTATTTATTTATTTATTTATTTAATTTTTGGCTGCGTTGGGTCTTCGTTGCTGCGTGCAGGCTTTCTCTAGTTGCGGCGAGCAGAGGCTACTCTCCGTTGCAGTGCGCGGGCTTCTCATTGCAGTGGCTTCTCTTGTTGCGGATCACGGGTTCTAGGCGCGCACCCTTCAGTAGCTGCAGTGCATGGGCTCAGTAGTTGTGGCTCACCGGCTCTAGAGCACAGGCTCAGTAGTTGTGGCACATGGGCTTAGTTGCTCCGCGGCATGTGGGATCTTCCGGGACCAGGGCTCGAACCCGTGTCCCCTGCATTGGCAGGTGGATTCTTAACCACTGGCCCACCAGGGAAGTCCCTATGTGAACATTTTTAATGATTGCATAATATTCTATTGAATAGATTTATCACGGTTTACTTAACCATTTTCCTATTGGTGAACACTGAAACAGTCTCTAGTTTTTCAATATTATAAATACCCTGGCAATGAACATCTTTGTGTATAAAAAATTTTATTTTTCTTTCTCTAGGATTATTTCCTTAGGATAGATTCCTAGAAGACTGATTACTAGATATAAACATTTAAAAACTGTGGAACACTTTGCTGAATTGCCTTCCAAAAAAGCACTAATTAGGGTAAATGGTAATATTTTGGAAACAACCCAGATGTCCATCAAGAGGGGATTGACTATGGTATCGCACAGACAATGAAAGACTATAGTTGTTAAAAGGGCAAGGGATATTTATTTCCATTCACGTGTCCTTCCACAATGTACTGTGGGGGGAAAAGCAGGTTTCGGAGACAAATGTATAGAATTTGGGGGGGGAAGAAATATATATAAATGATAAATATATATAATATAATAATCTACATAAGTGATAAAGTTCCAAAGGCATAGTTACTAACCATTATTTTAAGAAGGCAAAGAACACAGGAATTTTTTCATTTCTACTTCACAAACTTTTGTCATATTCAGATTTCTTACAGTGAGTCGGTAAATTTTTGTAAGGAGAAAAATTGATCAACAAAAACTTTAGAAAGGAAAGCTTATAAATTATTTCTTTAAAAAATTGCCTTTTAATTGATTTAATGCATAGTAGTTTTTTGCTTACATAGCAAAATTCACCCATCTTCCTCTTTTTTTTTCCCTCCCCAAATCTTCTAAATTTAGCAAGCCACTCCTACTGATTTCTCCTAGCCCTGCTGGGATTAGAGTTTCATCTCTGGATGAAATCTGGAGTTTAATGTCCAGCACAGGGTGTGCTTCTCAGTCTTCTCAACAGCCCTAAGAGGGAAGGTACCATTATTACCTCATTTCACACATGGAGAAACTGAGGCTCAGAGGGGTCCAAGCACTTTTCCAAGGAAGGTCAGCAGGGTAGGGGGCTGGCTTTGAACCCAGAGCCATGGTGGCTCCAGGGCCTGCATTCCTGACCACTAAACAGTGGGCTCCAGGCTGACTGCCCCACTTAGCCAAGACCTGAGAGAGAAAAGTTCCGTTTTAAAAACTGGCTGAAAGTTCTGGAAATGCTCAGAGGCAGCCAGAATGGAAAAAGATGCTCAAAGGGAACAGAACTTCTCAAAGGGGCTGAGGCTGCCCTGTCATTTGTGACACATGGAAAACTTGACAAATGTAATATCCAGGCCGTTAGTGGGAGAACTGGTCATGCTCTTTGGCAAATTGCTCCCTCCTCCTCCCTCCTTGCCCCTCCCGCGACGCCACCCAGGGAGGGAGCACTTGGGACCATCTCAGAGGAGGCTTTGCTGGTGGCCGTGACTCGGTCCCAAATCTACCCCAACTCGGGGATTGTGAGAAGGAGTGATGGCCTATCTCTGAGCCTCTCGGTGCAGAAGGGTCCACTGGGTCCCTCCAGCCAGTGCTGTTTTTAAGCCCCGGCTCTCAGGCTGCCTCTCTTCCAGGTCCCCTGAGCTTGGCCACATGAGCCACACCCTTGGCAGAGCCACGGAACAGTCAGGGGGGAGTGGGGAGGATGTGGCATCTCTCAAGTCTGCCTCTCCTGGGCTGACATCCAGGGCGCTGCTCTCTCCCCCATCCTCCTGCCTTTCCTGATGCCCCCCACCCCTCCCCCACCCCATCCCCTTGGCCTCCATCTTGCCCTCAGAATCACTACCTGTGACCCAGGCACGCTAACCTCCAGCTCTCTTCCCACATAGGGGGATCCACCTGCGGGGCCTGACCCAGGATAGGAAGAGGGACAAGGTGTGGGTCTAGCTTTGCCCAGCCTGGGCCCCTCCATGGCAGAGGAAGAGGTCCCCTTGGGTAGACTCCCACCATCAGCAGCTCAGCGAGTCCCCCTCTCCAAGGAGCTGCCGGTTCATGAGCCAGAGGGCAGAGGAGCCCATGTCTGCTCACCCTGGCAAGGAGGGCAAAGACTTCCATCCTTCATTCATTCCCTCATTCTTTCAACGTGCCCTCTTTGGGCATGGCAGTGTGCCCAGCCCTGGGCCCTACCTTCAGGGCAATTACAGTCCAGTTTGGGGAGGGAAGTGGGGTGGAGAGGGATGGGGCACATGGAGGTGGTCACAGTAGGCTCTCTGGAAGACACGATATTCAACAGAGTCCTGAAGGAGGAGTCAACCCGGGTTTTGTCCAGAGCCTGGTTGAGCTGAAGGCAGAGTCCACAGGCAGGGGGGAAGGGTTTGGAGCAACTTCCCCTTTGACCTCAGTTGATAAAAACTGCGGGGGGTGGGGGGGTGGGTAGAAGGGTGCTGCTGAGCTTCTACCCCCAGAGGAGTGGGGTGGAGACAGGCTGGCCGAACAGCTCTGAGCCAGGCAGATGTGTCGGGTTAGCGGTGCCGGGACAGGGCATGCAAAGGGAGGCAAAGCCGGGTGGATTCGACCAAGAGGGCCCCCGCAGGGTACTGCTCATGCTGCTGGCACTCCCACTCCGCATGCCCACCCCACCCGCAATGCCCTCGCATGCCTGTGCCTCCTGCATGTCCTTTGTGTAGCTGCTGGTCTTCCCCTGCTCCCCTCCCCCAGCTCTGACAAGGAGCATTGCCTGTCCCCAGCCTGACTCAGGAGGCCACCTGGCACCTCGGGCCCTGCCCTCCGCAGATTCTCCCTGGATCGTAATCTGTGGGCTGTTACCGGCCTGATTCCCCACCTGACTGTGCCTCCAAGCCTTTGAGGAGGCAAGGGGTAGCCCTGAGGATCAGTGAAAGTTTGGGGCGCTAATAGCGCCCCAAACAGAGGCCTCAATCGAATAGGTGTGTTTCCAAGATGGCTGCCACCAAGATGGCGGCCGAGGAAAAGGCTGATTCCCAAGGCATTTGTGCTCATGGGAACTGCCGGCCCCTGTGAAGTTGCCCAGGTAGGCTAGTGAAGAGGGCCCGGGACTGGGAAGACCCTTGACTTGCCATTTGGAACCCACAATTAGGGGAAAGGGGTGGCTGTGGCTTGGTGCCATCAGCTTCCTGGGCCCCCAGGTGTGGGGCATTCTGTGTGTCCCTCCCACCCCACGGCCCTGGATTCTGGTGGGGTTTGGGTGCCCCCTACCCGTGCCCCCAGTGTACGTGGCTCTCTCCCCTGCCCCCCCCTCCCCAGCTCCAGCAGTACCCCCGGCTGCGGGAGGAGATGGAGCGCATTGTGACCACCCACATCCGGGAGCGCGAGGGTCGCACCAAGGAGCAGGTGAGCCCACGCACCGCCCCCTCTTCCCTCACCTTTCACTCCTGCCCTTGGGCTCACCTCCTTCTTCCCACTTTGTCTCTTCTGTCTCAGTCTCTCTTATACTTTCTCTCCTTGTATTAACTTTCTGCTTCTCTCTTGCTCTCTTTTTTGTTGTGAGAAAATATATACATAACATAAATTTTACTATTTTAACCGCTTTAAATTGTGCAGTTCAGTGGTATTAAGTCCATTCAGATTGCTGTGCAACCATCACCACCAACCATCTTCAGAACTTTTCATCTTCCTAAAATGAAACTCTGTCCCCCTTAAACAGTAACTCCTAGGGACTTCCCTGGTGGTCCAGTGGTTAAGACTCCACGCTCCCAATGCAGGGGGTGCGGGTTCAATCCTGGTTGGGGAACAAAGATCCCACATGCCCCACAGTGCAGCCAAAAACAAACCAAAAAAATGACACCCATTCCCCCTTCCTCCCAGCCCCTGGCAACCACCATTCTCCTTTCTGTTTCTATGAAGTTGATGACTCTAGGTACCTCATATAAGTGGAAGCATACATTTGTCCTTCTGTTTCCGGCTAACTTCACTTAACATAATGTTCGCAAGCTTCATCCACGTTGTAGCACGTGTCAGAATATCTTTCCTTTTTAAGGCTGAATAATATTCCATTGTATGAATAGACCACATTTTGTTTATCCATTTTTTTCCACTTTTTGGCTATTGTGAATAATGCTGCTATGAACACAGGTGCAAAATATCTCTTTGAGAGCTTGCTTTTAAATCTTTAGGGTATATTTCCAGAAATGGAATTGCTGGATCATATGGTAATTCTATGTTTAACTTTTTGAGGACCTGCCATACAGTTTTCTAGAGAAGCTGCTCCATTTTACAATCCCACCATCTGCTTCTCAACTATCTATACTCTGGTCATCTCACTTTGGGCCTCTCTCTCTTTGCTGTTTCTCTGGGTCACCATACACCCCTCATAGGCGCCCTCCCTTCCTTTTATGTAGTCATTTATCAAATATTCTTTCATTCATTCATTCATTCGTTCATTCAATAAGAAGCATACTCCCTGAATGCTCCTCTGAGCTGGGAGGGGCAGAGGTGAGCAGGCTCCCTCATGGCTCACAGGCTAGTCCTTTTTCCTTGGCCATCTCCCTGTCATCTTCTATCTATACCCACCTCTGGCTCCCAGTTCCCAGCTTCCATCCTCATACACCCCTTCTCCACAATGGTGCTGTCCCTAATCACTCACATTTTTGTTGCCAATGTTGTGTTTCTAAATCCTCACTGGTCTCTTTTTAATGACAAAATGATAAATACTCAATAAAATATTCAATCAGTATAGAAGTCATTAAATTACGAGTAAGTGTTCCTCCATTCACGCTTCCCCGCCCCCAGTCTCCCATAAAAGAACCATTATTAAAAGTGTGGTGTGTCTCCTTTCAGACATTTTCCCTAGGCACATACAGATTCCAGATTTCCTCTTACTCCTAAAGAATCACAATCCTGCAGTGTGTCTTGCCTTTTTTTCTCTGAAGATAATTGTAGCTAACATCTGTTGAGCACCTATTACAGGTCAGACCCATGACCTTCCTCCTCTCACTGTGTCTTCACCACTCCTGTGAGGCTGAAACCCTTCATTTGTGGAATTTGAAGCTCGGTGAGGACAAACTCACAGGAAGCAGCAGGGCCTGGGTCTGAACCCGGCAGTGAGCATCAGGAATGTCACCCCCATCACAATTTGGTCACAAATCCCATCACTCTTAATTATTTGCAAAGGGGATTTTCCCATGCCAGAATCTGGAAGTTATCCTCATTCTTCTGAACAGCTGTAGAGTGCCTTTTAGTTTAGAGGATACCATAATCTATTTCACCTTCTGATAGCCATTGGCTTGTTCCCAGTTTTTCTCTGCAACAAACCACACCAGACTGAACACCCTGGTACATGTATCTTTGCTCACTCAAGGAGCTTATCTGTGAGATATAGTTCTAGAAGTGAATATATGCATTTTAATATTGTCAAATATTGCCAAACTGCCCTCCAAGAAGGTGATACTAATTTACAGTTCCACCAATGGTATGTGAGAGAATCTGTCTTCCCACAGTTGTGCCCACACTGGTCATTATCAATATTTATTATTAATTTGATAGGTTAAAAAGGGGTCTCACTTTAACTTACATTTCTTTATCAGTGAGAGGGAGCATTTTTTACATATCCTTATTGGTTGTATGCATTTCTTCTATGGGTTACCCATTCATGTTCTTGGACTATTTTGATTTGTGTTTCTTGTCTTCCACTTATTGATTTATAGGAATTCTTTGTTCATTATGGATACTATTATGGATACATTTATTTATTGTGGCTTATACATTGATTTATTATGGACTCTATACATGCTGCAAGTATGCTTCTCCCAGCTTTTCATGCATTTTAAAACTCTGTGGTATCTTTTCCACTTTACTGCTGACCTGTGTATCCTTGAAGGTCATGCTCCTCATCGATATTGAACTGGCTTACATGAATACCAACCATGAGGACTTCATAGGCTTTGCCAAGTGAGTGCTCCCTGGTCAGAGAAGGTGACACCTCGTGTGACTGTGTGTGTATGTGTGTGTAGGACCCAGGCCTGTTGGGTTAAGCCTCTGGGTCTGGTGCCCACTGAGCAGTAGCAATGAAGCCGGGCCTCTTGAGAGAAGTTTCTGGGACTCTTCTTTCTCTCCTCATTAGTGCTCAGCAGAGGAGCAACCAGATGAACAAGAAGAAGGCTTCAGGGAACCAGGTGAGTGAACTCCAGTGCCCCAGCCGAAGGGATGGAGGGTGCCGGATGGACGCCAAGCTCTGAGATCCCCCTCCCCCGAGGGGAAGGGTCCCACAGGGGCCAGAGCGCCTGTCAGATGCCAGCCACAAGCCTCCCACTCTGCATCAGTAACCCTCTCTCCTCTCTCCCGGTGCTTCTCGTGGTTGCTATGGTTACCTCTTTGCAGGATGAGATTCTGGTGAGTACCAGGACTGGGGCTCTTGGTTTGTGTAGTGAGGGGGAGGAGGGGACCCATTTGTAGTGGGGATGTGCAGGGGTCAAGAGGGCACCCTTTGGTTTGCACACACCAGCCCATGGGTGTCCACATATGCGCTCAGGCCAGAGGCAGGGTCTAGCCACACACAGAGTCCCACCAATCTGTCCATCACTGCGCATGAACTAAGCATGTACTTCAGCCAGAGGTAGACCATGTGGGCTGGGGTGGGTGAAAATGCCTGGCAAGGGCCTGGCACTGAGTAGGGGCTCTTTAAATATCGGTTGGATGGATGGATGGATGGATAGATGGACGGATGGATGAGAGAGAATGTTTTTAAGCTGGCATCTCTACCAGAGAGTTGTAAAGAGTGAATGAAATGTCAAGAGACCAGTGCCTCCTTACCTATTCTGCCCTTCAGATCTCTGCTGAAACATCACTTCTCAGCCCCAGTTGTACCACCAGCCATAGAGTTTGAGCTCTTCCAGAGGCTGTAGTTTCTTTGTGATAATCTAGGTGTTTGTGTGATTACTGGCATCATATCATTTCCCTCTTGAACCCTATAAGGGGAAGGGCTGGGTCTGTCCTGTTCACCAGTAAATCCTCAGCCCCCAGTGCAGTGCCTGGCACACAGTAGGTGCTAAATAGAATGAAGGAGCTAATGAATGCAATATCCCAGGGCAATTCGGTTCAGCAAACACTCACTGGTGCCTGTACTGTGCTGGCCCCTGGACAGGAGTCAGACTCTGGCCCTGCCCCTTGGAAGCCTGGGCTTGTAGTCAGGCCCCAGGCAGGGTGGGAGTGGGGGGAACAGGAGGCCCCTGGTGCTGGGGCTCTGGAAGGGGGGTTTGGGTGAGCAGGGAGGAGGGCAGAGCTGGGGGTGGCCGAGGGAGGACAGGAGTCAGGGCGGGAGCAGGGTGGAGAGGTCTGTTGGTCAGATTGGGGAGATGGAGGGCCAGGGAGTGGCATTCAGACTCAATTCCAAAGACAGTGACAAGATGCTGAGGGGATCCTCTCCAGACCGGGACAGGGTGGGAGGGTGGTCATGAGGCACTTGGCTACCACATCACTGTTAATGACTAAGGCAGCTACTAGCTGTGATCCGCTGTGTGACTTGGGTTCTCCGCAAGGTTCTCAGGGAAGCCAGAGAGGTTTAAGGAGGGCTGGGAGTGGGGGCGGGGGGCGGGGGGGGTTGCTTTGAGGGCCTTAGAAGCAGGCTTGACCCCAGAGGGCTTTCCTGCCAGCCCCAGGCTGCTCAGTCTTCTCCGGATGCTCAGGGGAGAAGCCAGGGAGGCCAGGGCTGGGGGAGGGAGCAGAAGTAGCTCCCTTGTCCCCTCAGTCCGTCCCACCACCAGGGTCTGGTCAGTGTCCCTGCCCTTGGAGCAGAATCCACAGGCCCTAATCTGTGTCAGTCGCTCAGGACAGTCCCAGAGACAGCTGCTTCCTGCTGTGAAAAGAGACCTTTGCCTGTTACTCTGGGCTTCTCCGGGGAAGAGGAGTCTGGACAATTTGTGCTCAGCTCCTCCCTGCCACATCTGTGCTCTACCACCGCACCCCTGTCCTGGGGCTTGGAGGCAAAGACTCTTAGAACCCTACTATCACAGCATTCATGTATTCATGCCACAAATATTTATTGATAACTTGCTGTTTGCCTAGCCCTCTGCCAAGTGCTGGGACACACCAGTGAGGGAGAGAGTTCACAATTTAGCAAGACAGACTGACATCAACAGATAATCACACACACGCATGCAAATTCAAAACTCCAGTCATTGTCATAGAAGAAAGCTTAAGGGAGCGATGAGAGATTATAATAGGGGTCCTGACTTATATGGGGGGCCGGGGAGAGTCTGCCTGAGAATGTGACTTCTGAGCTCATACCCAGAGGATGAGTAGGATTTGCCAGGCCAACAGGAGGAAGTGCTTTCTAGGCAGAGTCAACAGAAGCACGTGCAAAGTCCCTGAGGTCAGAAAAAGTCTTTGAATAAACTGACTGTTAACCTGGAAAGATACTCAGAGTTATCTTGCCCAATCAGCCACCTAAACTCTGCTTGCACACTTTTTAGCAGTGGGGAGCTTGTCCCCTACCAAGGCCACCAGTCCCCTACTCAGATGGCTCTGTCAGAAGGCTCTTTATCCTGAGCTGACCTCTGACTTCCTCTGTCTTCCTCTCTGTTCACTTGTGGTTCAAACCAGGGCAGGTCTGGCCCCCACCCTCTCTGACCAGCCAGGCCTTGAAGAGCTGGGGGAGGGGTGAGCTTTTGAGGGTCTCTCTTTGCCCACCCCATCCTCCATGGGGAATCCTGGCCTCTGTCCACTGACTTCCTGCCCCCCCCCGACCCTCCAGGTCATCCGGAAGGGCTGGCTGACCATCAACAACATCGGTATCATGAAGGGGGGCTCCAAGGAGTATTGGTTTGTGCTGACCGCCGAGAATCTGTCCTGGTACAAGGATGACGAGGTAAGTCAAGGGCCGCTGGTCATCAAGGGGTCTGGCTGGTGGCCAGAGGCAGGCTGAGACCCTACCACAGGCTTGGAGTGGACTGAACCACCCAAAAGGGGGATTTAAAACTCTCATCAAAGACCTCTGGGTGGAGGTGGGAGGTCAGGACCAGAGGCAGGCAATCCTGGGGGCTTATCCAGGCTGGATGGAGAAGAGGGCTTGGCAGGACTGGGGAGCTTGGGGCTCAGCGCCCTGGGGTGGGCAGGGGTGCTGGGCATCCCTCCCTGACCCCACCAGCCCGGCAGCCTTCCTGTTTTCTTGCTCCAGGGCGTGCCTCCTACTCCGTGGCCTCCACAGGCCCATGACACACACGAGTCCAGCTGCCAGACACGCTGTTAACCCCTGCACCCCAGCCCCCCAGCCCCCAGCAGTCCGAGGGGGATGCCCAGGGTGCCTCCAGCTGGAGGGGCGAGGAGCGATGGGGCCCCACAGAGGCACCACCCCAAACCCCTCCCTGCCCACTGGGCACAGAGAAGCCCAGCCACCCCCCTTCCCTGCTGCTGGTCTCCTTTAAGAACGAGTCCCTTTGGCTTCCACATCTGGATTCCAGAGGTGACCAGAGAGAGCAGGGAGGGCTGGGGGGGAGGGGGCTTGTGGTAATGAACTCCAGCTGGCCAAGGAGTGGGGGGAGGGACCCCCTTCTTCCTGAGGGGTCTGTTGAAGGTGAAGGTGCTCTCCATGGGGGAGCAGAGCCTGGGGCGGTGGCCTCTGATTTCGCTCTCCAAGCCCCCCTCCTTGATCCTTGCCCCCTCCAAGTCTCCCCAGGCAGGGCCCCCCTCCTCACTTTGGGCGGGGCCCTCTGTCGTCACCGGCGGGGGCGCCAAGCCATCTGGACCTCATTACCCCAACCCTGGCCTCTCTCAGAGCATGGGGCCCCTCGAAGGGTGGAGCGTGAGGCTGTGCGGGGCACGGGTGTGGGGACCGCTTCCTGCTCTACCGCCTGGGCAGCCTTCCTAGACGTGCCCGTGCCCCACCACTCCTTGGGCTCCTGTGTTGAGGTTCCTTGCACAGGGCCAGGGGACAGTGTGACCTGGGGCTGGGGGCTAGAGATGGGCTACACTGGGGGGAGGAGGGAGTATATCTGAGCAGGGCCCCCGTCCTTGTGTGTGTGTCTGTGTGTGTGTGTGTGTGTGTGTATCGGGGGGCTGGTCTCTGTGGAACTTCGTGTGTACATTTGAGTTGAGTCGAGTGTGACCCCGGCGTTGAGTGTACGTGTGCGTGGGGGAGGGCTGGGCAGTGAGTGCTGGGAGGTGAGGGTGTATGTGAGGCTTGTGGACGTGGGGTGTGGGTGTTTGACAGGAGAGTGTCTGGGGTATAAGCGTCGGGGCGTGTTCGGTGTTTGCGGGTTTGCATGTGTGTGTGGGGGCAGACCATGTGTGCCCGAGGCGTGTGTGCCCGTGCCCGGTGTGTAAGCATCTGTGTGTATGTGTGGAGAGTGGACTTGAGGAGGGAGGGCGTGCGTGTGGCACGTTTGAGGATATGTATTGTATGTGTTGGGGATGTAAGGATGGGAGAGGGCTGGTGTTCCATTGTGAGCGGGTGTGTGCGTCTGTGTGCGCATGTGTGTGCATGCACTTGTGTGTGCTTGGGACACGGATGTGTGATTTAAAATTCGAGTGTGGGAATGTATGTTTCCGAGTTGTAGGTGTGTTCGTGCCGAGGTAAGGTTGCGTGTGTGTGTTGGGTTGTGAGTGGATCTTTTTGCCCTAAAACAGCTGGGGACAGGGAGGTGGTCCGGGCTGGGCGGAGGGTGATCTGTCCCCCTTCTCCCCCAGCCACCAACCGTCTGGTCTTTGGGACTTGGGTGATCCTCTGGGCAGACAGGCGGCCGCCCACATCCCCAGCCCTCACTGACCCCCCATCTTCTCACTCTTCCTCCGCCACCCATCAGCAGCCCCACCCCGTCCCACAGCATGGTGGCGCCCCCATCCCTGTTGCCTCCTCCCAGCCCACCCTGTGCCCCCCAAGCCCCCTGCCCCGGCTCCAGGCTCCGGTTCTGGGATGGCGCGTGGGGGCCGCTCCAGCTCTCCAGCGGCGGTGCCGAGGGTCTAACCCAGCCCAGCCTAACCAATGTGCAGACTACTGTACAATTTGGAAGTCCTGAACAGATAGTCTAAACACTGGGTAGACGGAGTGGAGGTGTCCTCTGATCCATCCAGGCTGCAGTGTCTGTCCGTCGGGTGAGAGCTTCGGCCCCATGTCCTGGAGATGCAAGGTCCCCAGCCCAGCCCAGCCAGCCCGGGGTCCCCTCTCTGCTCTGACTCCCCTTCTGCCTCCTTTGACGTGGCAGGGGTGAGCGGGAGCTCTGGCTGGGGAGGAGGGGCCTGGGGACGGGCCGGCCTGCGGGAAGGAGGGGGCTGCTCCTACCTAGTGTCCAACCCCAGAGCAGAGCGCAGGGCGGGTGGCGGCGGGGCCTCCCTCGAATGCTTCCAGATGTTCCCTGGCCGCGTGTGCAACTTCCTCCTCTCCTCCCCCAGCCGCCCTCTGGGGCTCCCGGCCACCCGCCTGGCATAAAGAGGGCTTTATGTGGCTGGATGGGCCAGGGGGGTGCGGGGGGCAGAGAGAGGTGGGCAGGATGACGCCAGGACGTGGAGCAGGGTCCCCTGAAACCCAGCCCCCGACCCGAGATACGTGGCGAGGCTCATGCCCAAGCCCCGAGTCCTCCAAACCCACACAGTCACCCCCCCCCGGGCCCCCGGGCGTGGGCCCTGTGGTGTTGGGTTGACTAGTGGGGTACAGGCAGCAGAAACCCCTCCCCTCCTCCCAGAGCCCCATCCTGGGGTACCTCCTCCGAAGATCCCTGAGCTCCTCCCCTCTGTCTATAGGACAGAGGAGCCTACAGTCACATGTCAGCCCCCACCAGATGTACACACATGTGCACACAGGCCTGGCACCCACATGCCATCCACAGATAAGCGTAACTCCTCCCAGACGATACAGATAAACCACACAGATTCAGCCCATTACGAAAACTCTATGCACGTGAGTACGTGCACCCACAGTGCATGTCCCGCAGGTACATTCATGCAGACACATGGACATTTACAGTTGCCACACCTACGGAACTGTGCACACGTACACACACACAGCCGGGCTGGCACCTCCTCAGGCACCCTCGTGCACACACAGGGACACATGGGCACACGCACAGTGGTGAGAGGACACGTGCTCAGACATGCACATGTTTGCACAGACATACAACCACACACATTGCACACACACACTCACCATCTCCAGGCTTGTGCTGTGTGCCTGATCGCTAACACATGGGCAGCTGTGGGGAGTGGGCTGAGCCAGCCCTTTGAAGCTGCCAGGCCTGGTGGCCGCCCCCCTTCCCCGTCTCTCCAGTCAGGAAATGAAGTCAGAGGCTTATCCAGAGCAGGCCCCATCGGCCAGGCTGGCGGCAAGAGAGGCCGAGTGCGGGGGTCCCTGGCTGGGGCTGGCCTGGCTTGCGTCCAGGGCTTGCTTGGGGCGGGATGTGGGAGCCAAGCTCAGCCTCGCCACCCCAGGCTCTTGAGCTCTGGCATGGATGTGGAGGCGGTGGGAAGGGCTTGAACGCCGTGGGGAGCCGAGGTGCCCAGCAGACCCGGGGCTCCGTGGCCAGGCTTTCATCAGACAGCGCCCACGCGGTGCAAGGGGGCTGGTGGTCTACAGCCCCAGATCCCCCCGCGCCGCAACATGGAGCATCCTTAGGGAGTGAGGCGTAGCAGAGACAGCACCAACCTCACCCATCACTCCTTCCTCTCCCCCAGGAGAAAGAGAAGAAATACATGCTGTCCGTGGACAACCTGAAGCTGCGGGACGTGGAGAAGGGCTTCATGTCCAGCAAGCACGTCTTTGCCCTCTTCAACACGGAGCAGAGGTGCCTGCCTGCTCCCACGGGGCCCTGGGGAGTAAAGACGGGCCCACGGATCCAGAAGACAGAGAGATCTGCCCGGGCTCCCCAGCAAGTCATTCACTTGACAAATATTTGATTGAGTTTCTAATCTGTGCTACACTCATGTCCAGATCTCGTTCCTGGCCTCCCTCCCGCCACCCCTTCCTTTCTCCTTCCTGCCTTTCCTCCCTCCCTCTCCGTCTCTCTCTCTCCCTCCCTCCCTCCTTCCTCCCCTCCTGTCCTTCTGCAATCACTTGGTTAGTACCTGCCCTGCATGAGATACTGGCAGTACCAGGCCTCTCCCCTCCCAACCCAGGGCTGACTCTAGTGGACTTTCTCCTACTCAGAGGTGAGGGTTCAATACAGCTGCCAAGAGGGGAAAGCCTGGGAGGGGGCCAATGGGGGTTGAGATCTAAGCCAGGGGCTGCACTGTCATGGGTGCCCCTTTCATGAGAGCTCAGTCCCTTTCTAATAGAGTATTTTACTGCTCATTTCACTAAATCCTCTCAATGACCCTAAAAGGCAGGAATTGTTATTATTAACCCATGTTCCGGATGAGAAAACTAAGGCTGGGAGAGAAGGGACTTGCCACAGCTGGCAAGTAAAAAGCCAGGATTGGCCCACAGGCACGATGACCCCAGTCCACGCACGCCCTTAACCACCAAGGTGAATGGGCCTTGCCCCCCATCTCCCCTCACCACCTGCCCCATCTTGCAGGAACGTCTACAAGGATTATCGGCAGCTGGAACTGGCCTGCGAGACACAGGAGGAGGTGGATAGCTGGAAGGCCTCCTTCCTGAGAGCTGGCGTGTACCCCGAGCGTGTTGGGGTGAGTGGCAGGGGAGGTAGGGGAGGGGCAAGCTGCTTAAAATAAGGGGCTCCAGGGGAAGCCATCCACAGTGATGCCAAGCCATTCCATATTTTCCGGCTCTTATTGGGCTCAGAAATAGCAGGGATCCTCCCCCTACCTGCTCTGGGGTGGGATCAGAGTTAACCCTTCCTCCCATCCTTCTCCAATGCAGTTTTACATGACTCTTTCTCTGACACAGATGGCATTTCCGACATCCCTTTCGTATGATCATGCTTTCTTCTGACTGCCTTCACTTTTCTACCCTCTTTCACTGTGACAATGTCTAGAGTTGCCTTACAGTTGGGGTGCAGTGCCCTGGGTTTACTCAGTCCCTCCTCTTTTCCTGTGTGTGTCTGCTACGGCTGTGCTTGCTGGTGGCGGCGGCGATGATGGCAATGCTGGTGTGGTGACCTCTATGGCTTTGGTGTGGGCCTCCCAGGACAAAGAGAAAGTGAGTGTGTCCCTCTCTCATCTTCTGCCAGGCATCCCTAGCCTGGCGACAGATCTGGCCAGGCCTTTAGAATCAGGAAGTGTCCTTGGAGATGTCCTTTCTTAATTTATGGACTGGGAAAGTAAGGCAAATTCTAGGTACTAGAGTCAGAGCCAAGATAAGGCTGAATGAGGGTCTGGGGTCCTGAGAGGCACTGGGGTGGACAGAGCCCAGAGACCCAGAGCTATGGGGGAGCTGGTGTCTTTGTGTACAGGCCAGTTGCTTCTCTCTGTATCTTAGCGTTCCAGGCATCCTTGAAGGGGCTGGGACCCTGGGGATGCCTGGAACCTGGCTTTGAGGGCCTAGCCATCCTGATGCCCTGTCCTCAATGGCAGGCCAGTGAGACGGAGGAGAATGGCTCAGACAACTTCATGCACTCCATGGACCCACAGCTGGAGCGGCAGGTGGAGACCATCCGGAACTTGGTGGACTCATACATGGCCATCGTTAACAAGACCGTCCGGGACCTCATGCCTAAGACCATCATGCACCTCATGATCAACAATGTGGGTGCACCACCGCGTGGGGGGGCGGGTGCTCTCGTGGGACCAGGGAGGCAGGTGGCCAGGTTGGCCTGGAGTAGGCACGGGCTAGTCATGTGGGACCAAGTCTGGGGAGGGAGGCATGGGTCCACGCCAGAGGTATCCAATAGAAATGTAATGTGAGCTTCATATATTATTTTGTAGATTCACATAACCAAGTTGTTCCAAGCATGCTTAAATGCTTTCCAGGAGGGGCTAGGAATATGCATCTTTTGAGAACTCCCAGACCATGTTTTGAGATCTCCCACACCATGTTTTGAGATACACACCCCACGGAACCACTTCCACCCATGGCTTAGTGAAAAAGCATGGCCTGAAGGGAATTAGGACTGTGTTGGAATCCTGGCTTTGCCTCAAATTCCCTGTGTGACTTTGAGCAAACGAACTACCCTCGCTGAGCCTCTGTTTTCTTATATGTAAAATATGGATAGAGTTGAGGATTAAATGAATATAAAGTGCATAACAACACAGTGCCTGGCATGTAGTAGGTGCTCAACATAAATTTAGATAACGAATAAATGAGACACAGGCCTACGGCATAAAAAACCTCAGCATCTCTCCACAAATGTTCCAGAGCCTGGCCCAGGTAACATCTGGGAATTTTTAAGGAGAACATTAACCCATGCCCTACACACAGACACTCACATTTCACCCGATCCAGGCACACATTCACACCTGCTACTCAAGGGCTCGGAAAATTTTAAACTGTCGTCTTCCTTATTTTGGTCCAGTGGAGCATACAAGTCTTTGGAAAGGGTGTAACTACCCCATTTTACAGATGAGGAAGCTGAGGCTGAAATAAGCTGAGTAACCAGGTGTCCTGGTGCATAATAGGTCCTGAGTGTTCTCCTAGATCTATGACCTTGAACAGTTCACTTTTCTTCTCTGGACCATCTGAGAAAAAGGGCAAGCGGGGAGGCGGGGAAGCAAGGGAGATCTCTGAGTTTAGGCAGTGGCAGAGCCCCATCCCCGAGCTAGTAGGGCCCGGCGGGGAGGGCAAATTGGTACAGGCGTCAGGTCCCAGCCCTTTCCTCTCTTTGCCCGCCCGCAGACCAAGGAATTCATCTTCTCGGAGCTGCTGGCCAACCTGTACTCGTGCGGGGACCAGAACACACTGATGGAGGAGTCGGCCGAGCAGGCGCAGCGGCGCGACGAGATGCTGCGCATGTACCACGCACTGAAAGAGGCGCTCAGCATCATCGGCGACATCAACACGACCACTGTCAGCACGCCCATGCCCCCGCCCGTGGACGACTCCTGGCTGCAGGTGCAGAGCGTACCGGCTGGACGCAGGTACCAGGGCCGGCTCCCACGGCCCCAAAGCCCCCCAGCCCGGGGCCCGCTGGAGGAGGGCCGAGACCGGGCAGTGACGCGCCGGCGTCACCGGGATAGCTCCCACCTGGAGCGAGGGGCGGGGCTTATAGCGGGGCGGGGCTTATAGCGGGGCGGGGCTTGCCGTGGAGAGCTGGCTGCCGGGAGGGGTGGAGCTGGAACATTGGAGCCTCTGGGGGCGGGCTTAAACGCCGGCGAAAACCTAAGGCGCGGAGGGGCGGAGCTTGTGCGCATGGGCGTGACCGGCACCCAGCTGGGGGCGGGGCCTCACGGTGGGGCGGAGCCGCTCATCTCTCTCCCCTCCTTGTCCTTCGCTCCCTGTCGCCCGCAGGTCACCCACGTCCAGCCCCACACCGCAGCGCCGAGCCCCCGCGGTGCCCCCAGCCCGGCCCGGGTCGCGGGGCCCTGCTCCTGGGCCTCCGCCTGCTGGGTCCGCCCTAGGGGGGGCGCCCCCCGTGCCCTCCAGGCCGGGGGCTTCCCCTGACCCCTTCGGTCCTCCCCCCCAGGTGCCCTCGCGCCCCAACCGCGCCCCGCCCGGGGTCCCCAGGTGAGTAGGGGCTGAAAGCGGCGGCAGAGACCGCCGGGCGGGCGTGGTCGGGAGGGAGGTGGGGCCGGATTCCGGAGCATCGGCCCAGGTCGCCAGAGCCGGCCCTCTCTGTCCAGGTCACTCGGACCGTGGGTGCCAGAGCCACCGGGGGTGTGGCCGAGGGCTGGCGGAGCCTGCCCCCAGGGAGCGCTGAGTTCCGCAGGTGGTCGTTTCTGGGGAGGGGGCCGTGGGGCTCATCCCACCTGCCCTCTTCTTTCCAGCACTTGCATGGCGCTTCCTTCCTTTTTCACTCTCTCTCTCTCCCACGCGTTGCCTCCCTTCTCCTTTCCCCTTCTAGCCGCTCTCCTCCGTTCTCCATTCCGTCCTCTACTTCTGTCTCCCAGCTCCTAGTGAGCCTACCTCAGGTCTGAGGATCGGAACCCAAATCCTCTCTGGATGGGTAGATTTTATTCACTTACACTCAGGGCTACCCTGGTGCCCGCACTTCCCAGTCCTGACTCTTTGGACCTGTCCCCGAGGGTTGTGACTGTGTGACCAGCAAGGTGTGTGATGTGTGTGTGGGCGTGCACACGGATGTGAGAGTGTAAGAATGGCACCCAGGCATGCGGTAGGACGTGGAGCAGCTGGGAAAGGGGCCTGGGAGCCATGGGACAGCCTGAAGGCTTCCTTCCTTCCCCTTGCCTCCGGCCCTAGCTGGCCTGGACCAACGTGGTGGGTGTGCGGGCAGGAGTGGAGGCTGCCCCATTCCCAGAAATCTCCAGGGAAAAGGGTTCTACTTCATCCCTTGCCTTTGCCTTCTTGATCCACGACCTTCTTTCAAGGAAGCTCACTCTGATATTTAACTCAGTCTGCCCTGTTTCCACTGGCCATGTTGTCTGAGGAAGAACACATCAGACCAATAATATCCATTTATGTTTCCAGATGGCTGGAGGGTAGGGCCATGGGTCTAACCTCCATGAACCTACAGTGAAGCAGAGATGGGGCTTGCTCTATGGTGACCTGACGGCCAAGGCAGATGGGGTAACGCAGGCAGCGTGGTGTCGGTCAGGGGCACTGGACTGGAGTGGGCCTTTAGGCGAGTCACTTTCCCTTCCAGGGCCTCAGTTTCCCTTCTACCAAATGATATTTAACATTCTGCCTTTCTCCCAGGGTTGGTGTGGGGATCAGGGGAGACAGTGGCTATAGGGATGCCACATTAACTGCAAAAGTGGCTATAGGAACTATTTGCTAACTTCCAATGTGAGTTCAGATTCTTAAGGGTATTTGACATGCCCAGGCCTGTGCTGAGGTGTGACATGAGAACTGTAAGATCTGGTACCTGCTCCGTTCTAGTCTGGCTGACACATGGGAAGTCACAGCCTCAGAGGAGAGAGCAGTCTGGGGAGCTTCAAGGCAGCTTGACTTCGGTGAGATCCCAGGGCTGATGGAGATAAGGCTCAGGTGGTGAGGAGTCAGGAGGGCGTTTGGGTAAGGAGCAGCAGGTGGGCAAAGGTTGAGTGTGGAATGCGTTGAGAGCTGCTGGCCAGAGCAGAGTGCAGGTAGAATGAGGAAGAATAAGAAGAGGTTGCCCTGGGGACTTCCCTGGAGGTTCCAGTGGTTAAGATCCTGCACTTCCACTGCCGGGGGCACGGGTTCGATCCCTAGTCAGGGAGCTAAGATCCTGCATGGCGCGCAGCACGGCCAAAAAAAAAGAAAAACAAGTTTGCCCTGGGTAAGGTGGGGCAGGTAGGAGAACCTTCAAAGTCCACAGAAGAGGTTGACTTGGGACTCAGTGCTGTGAGCAGCAGGGAGCCATGGAAGGCTCTTGGGTGGAGACATGACAGCTGGACCCTAAGAAAGCAAGACCTGTCCCTTCTGGAGCAATGCAGGTGGCCCTCGGAGCACGCCAGGCATGAGTGTGCAGGGAGCTGGTGCAAATGCCTCCTGTGTGGGGGCGAGCTTCTGTGTTGTGACTCCGCCCCCGCGTGTGCTTCAGTGTGCCAAGTGGCTGCATGCCCCAGATCCATGCTGCACGTGCCGGCCAGCGAGGTTGCTGGGCGTTGGGGGGTGGGGTGTGTGCGTGTTGTTTGTGGGCATGTGTGTCAGCGTGTGCATGCGGGGCCGTGGGGCCTCACCGCATGTGTGTGCACGCCCGGGCGTGTGCGTGTGCGTGTCCCCCCACCCCCAGGCCTGACCCGTCTGTGAGCGTGAACTGCCACGTTGATTTCGTGCTGTCTTTCAGAATCACTATCAGTGACCCCTGAGGAGCGTCAGCCACGGTAGGTACAGGCCTCTCCGCCTGCTGCATGAACCGGTGTGTCTGCCCCCTGCCGCACCAGCTCCACACTGCAGGGCGAACCTGGGACCTCAGAGGCAGGCCCCCTCCCTCTCCCTTCTGCAGCTCCAGACTTATTCTTTCCTCTTTCTGTCCTCGCTGCCAGCTGGCTCTCTCACCTCCCTTCTCAGCGAGCCTCGGGACTCAGTGCCACTGCCCAAGACCTCCATGGCTGAGCCTGGGGAGGTCTTGGGACAGGCTCCGCACCCAAGCAGGCAAAGCTGGGTGCTCTCTGGAGGCGTCAGAAAGAGCGCAGAGCTCATGGTTCGTGGTGTTAGGGGCAGGGAGCTTGGCTGGACTCAGGCATCCAGAGGCCTTGGCGTCTCACCCTGGGGTGCCACACTCATTCCCCGATCTGAGCCCTGCTGCGGGGGCAGGGCAGCCAGCTCCCAGCCTGGGAGCTCTGGAAACCGAATCCACGATAGGGCAGAGGAAGTCAAAGTCCCACCTCCTTTATCGAGCCAGCAAGCGAGCAGCAGCTGGGGGTGAAGGCTCTGGTTATTTGATGATTTGGGAAAGCCTGAGTGTCCCCCCCACCATCAGCCCAGAGCACAGCTCACAGGCTAGGCAGGTCACACCGCCCCTTCCCCTGCCTCCGCGGTACTGTCACTCCTGCTGGTGCAGGACTGAAGGCAGCGTCCTCAGCCCCAGGTGGAGCACCATAGCCAGCCCGCAGGCTCATCCACCTGGGCCTGTTGCTCCTAGGGGTGACCTCCACTTTTCCGCTAAGGGGATGACGGTGTCTGCGGACCTGGGCAAGCCAGCTTCTCTGAGTTCCGCCCCAGCTGGGCCCCAAACTCGCCCAGCGAGCCTGCCTGCCACTCCGCGCCTGCGCTGACTCTTGCTCTTCTGCTTTTCCCCAGCAGGAAGGGCCCAGCCTCACCTACGCGACCTGCGGCCCCCCGACCAGCTGAGGCTCCCCTCTTAGACTTATAAGCCTGTGGCCACTGGCATCCGGCCGCCTGCCCTCCCTGCCTCCCCAGGGTCCCTTTAGAGGACTCGTGGGCTTTCTGCCCACCCAGAGGGGCCTCTAGCACTCCCTCCAGCCATTCTGTTAGCTTTGCCCTCCTGGTTCAAACAGTGTTCTTTCTCGTGTGTTTCTCCATCAGGCCTGGTGGCTGTCACGTGGGGCTCACGGCCCCATACTCCCTGAGGCTAGGGATGGCCCTGCGCCAGTGGGTTGAAAGACAGGGGGCCAGAGAAGAGGGAAGCCAGAGGGGGCCGAGCACGTGTCTGGAGCTGTGGGTGCACTGCCTGCTGGTGTGTGAGAGACTAGTGTGTGTGGAGGGGTGGGCGCTGCCCCAGCCTTTACCCCAGACCCCCGTGAGGCTCTGGCCCCTGCCCATCTCCTGCCCTTCTACCTTCCCTTTCTCGTCTCGCTTCTCTATTCCAGAACCCTTGCCCACACCTGGGTCTTCTGCCCCTCCCCTCCTCTCCCCTGACTGCCAAGCTAGGCTGCCCTTGCCTTACCAGCTCTCTCCCCCTTTTCTCTCTCCCGTTCTCTCTTTGCTTTCTCTCCAACTGCCAGCCGATCGGGTCAGGCAAGTCCATCCCGACCTGAGAGCCCCAGGCCCCCCTTCGACCTCTAACCAGATCCCTCCTATTCCTCGGAGACCTCCCTTTCCAAGCCTGCCTGGACGGCTGTTCTGTGACTTGACAGTGGCTACCCAGCCCCAGAGCTTCCCCTTCATCTGTGACTTAGTCTGTTGTAGTGGTGAGCTGACACATCCAGGCGTGACGTTGGTGAAACTTGTGCCCCTCTGTGGTCTTGCTCCTGCCCAGTTCTATAAATATCTATAAATACTCATATATATATATATATATATATATATATACACACACACACACACACACACACACACACATATATGGCCAAGCCTCACCTCTAGTGTCGGGAATCAATCACCATGCTGTCCTTGAGGAGTCTTGTGGCCCAGCTACAAGGGAACGCTGTCACCCTGACATCCCCCTCCAAAGCGTGCCACCTCCGATGAGCCCCTGTCGTACCCAGCCTGTGGACAGCCAGCCCCCCTCTGCCGCCCTCCCGTCCCTACCCCGCCTCGAACACGGGGGTGCTGTACTGGCAGCTGTGCGGTTCTCTGACCACTACTGCTCTTGCTGTCTCTTGGCTGAGAATAAAACCCATTTCTGGATGATGGGGAACAGCGTGTCCTCCGTGGCCTGTGTTCTCTGTGGCGCTCAGGGAGAGGTAAAGGTTTAAACATTGGGGTGAGGGATGGGGAAGGGCCCAGCTATTGCTAGGGTGCTATAGGATGTGGAGAAAAAAGCCCCATCCTCTCCGAGGCCTACTGGGAAAGCACCTGGCGTCGGCTGATCCTCGTCCTGTGAAACCTGCTCTGGCCACTAGGGGGCTCGGAGGGAGGACCGTGAGGTGCTGGCCAGGCAGGCACTGTGGAAGGACAGGCAGAACAGGCCACCAGAGGAGCAGGGCGATGGAATGGAAAACACCTGGACCACAAGTCAGCACTCAGGGTGCTGTGGCACCCTGCTTTCCCTCCCTGGGATTAGATCTGACTTCTGAGTCTCTCCGCCATTAAGGCAGGACTGCCCGGAGAGCCCCACGGCGGTCCCCTGGGAACCCCCAGTCTTCACCAGGCAGCATGCAGGTGACAGGCCTTGGAAGATCTCTTAACAGCCCGGTTGGATGTGCTCAGACACACTGGGGACCAGCACAACCAGAAGCTTGCCCTCTGCTGGCAGGACCCACTCCCTGTTCAGTGCTCACGGCACAGGACCCAGCGACAGAAGAAAAAGGAACACGCAAGAACAAGCAGTATGGCTAAATTCATTTATTCTGAAATAAAAAGTGAAACAGGAGTGGAATCACCCGGGCACAAACCCGTCCCCGCCTCCACCTTCTCTCTCCGACCTACACTATCAATAAATAATTTTCCCCAGCCCCAAATATTTAATAGAAGGTCCTCCCCATTTACCAGCGCCAACCTCCAATGTGATACAGGGGGCTTCCCTACCTCCAGAATATACAAAATGTTACACAGTTACAGTATAAACACTGGGGAGGGGGCCCACCCCGGCACCAGCTTATGTCCTTGCCTGGCCTCGGTTTGCCCAACCTTCCCAAGGCCTGTGAGAGTGCTGCCCAGTTGTCTGGCTGGGCAAGGGGGAGGGGGGGCACTTGTGCCCCAAAGTGCCTCTGAATGGAGGACTGCTTGGTGGGGGTGAGGAGACCAGCAGGGAGCCCCTGCTCCCCAAGAATGGCAGCCTCTTAAATAAACTACCTTGACTGAGCCTCCGGCTCTTTGTTTTTCTGGAACTATTAATAGCCCAGAGATCAAGGCACAGCCCTGGCCAAGATGGCAAGGGGTCTGCACCTATTTGTCTCCCCCCATTAGACAGGGGGCGCTTTAGGGATGAAGGGTGCCAGGAAGGAGGGACGGGGCAGCAGGTACGGGCAGGGGCAGAGCGCCCCGGCCCCAGGTCTCCGGTCTTTGCCCGTAGGGTCAGGCAGTTAGACCACCAAGATCTTCACTTCATCGCTGTCGTCAGTCTCGTAGAAGAAGGGGATGCAGGTGCTGCTACCCAAGACCGGGCACTCCCGGGGGTTCTGGATCTCGCGCAGCAGCTGCATGATCTGGTGCGCAGTGCGGTTCTCAGGGGTCGTCTGGCCCCGCAGGGCTTCCCCCTGGGTGGGGTCCACGTTGTCCTTGAGGCTCACCTCACGGAGACCTTTGTAGAGAGAGAGAGAGAGAGAGAGAGAGAGGCAGGGCTCGGAGTGGTGTGCCAGCTCTCCCCTGCCCGCCCGCCGGTCCTCCCGGAGGGCGCTACTCACCACCGTCGTCGGCAGCACCAGGCTCCTGCGGGGCTGGGGGCGCTGTAGTGGGCCCACCAACAGGGTTCTGGGCAGCCAAGAACTTGCCATACCATTCATTTCGCTCGCCCACCAGGCGTAATACCAGTTCCCGGAGCTCCAGCAGCTTCACCTGGAGGGACAGGCGCTCAGCACCCGCACCCCACCCCACCCCCGCCCACAGAGACGGTCACAAGGACCCCTATACCTTCATTTCCTCCTTGTCCTGAGCCAGGCGGCTGATGTACTCCTCCTTCTCCTGGTGCCGCGCCTTCAGCACCGCCCTCTGACTCTGATAAAGGGCGATGTACTCTCCTGCGGGGAGCGGGGAGGGCGAACAGGGCTCAGGTGCAGGGCTGCCCCGATCCAGCCCTCGGCCCCCCACCCCAGGCCCCCGCCTCTCCACTCACCAATAGTGTCTGTCTCTCCGGACAGCTGGATACAGCGATGCTCCAGCTCCTCTACCCGCTCCTTCAGATCCACTTTCTCCTGCATGAGCGCTGTGAAACGGCCCTGAAGCCACAACAGCAGGTCAGGGCTCGGCAGCGATCTGACCGCAGGCCCCCACCCTTCCTGGACCCCACTGGGGGCGACCCACTCACCTGCAGCTTGTCCATGGCCACCTGGAGGGCCTGGTGGGTCTCCGCAGGCACGCTGTCCCCCCGGGTCCCGGAGGCTGGGGCCTCCTTCTCCGCCCCGTCCTGGGCCGGGGCTGCCAGGTGAGCCAGGCGCTGGCAGCGCAGCTTTTCCTCCTTCAGCTGCCCGCGCAGCCGGGCCTGCTCTTCCTCAGCACTGGCTAAGGCCGAGTTAAAAAATGCCACCTGCGGGCAAGAGGTGTGCGCATGCTTTTGTGGGGGATACTGAGGACCAGCGAGGGGTGGCGGGTGGAGGGATGCTCCCCGTCTCGGGGTCTTTGTGGGCATGCCTGTGGTTCAAGGATGACATGGCATCTGACTATGGCTCCCAGGGGAGCTTGGGGGTCCAGAGAAGTCAGAGGGAGGGAAACCACAAAGGGTGTCTGAGAGGAAGCACAGGGGGAGGTAGAAAGTAAGACAGGCAAGGAGCAGGTCAGCTCACCAGCAGCTCTCGGCTGTCGAGCTCCTCCGGCACGCTCAGCTTCGGCCGGGGGGCCTCCTCATCCTTCTCCTCACCGTCCGGTCCACCTCCTGCTGGGGACACATGGAGGGGCCTCAGACAACCCGACAAGGCAGGGCGAGCAGGCCGGGAAGAGAGCGTGCCGCCCAGCTCTGCCCCTCACCTCACTCGCTGCAGGAAGAGGATTCTCTGTCCTAAAGGTCTCTTCTAACTCAATTCCACGCTGCTAAAAGTCCCCCTGCTCCTCAGGCTGGGTGTTCTCCCTGCGGGCCGTCCTACTCACCTTCCCCAGGCACAGCCAGGAGGTTCAGCTGGGCTTGTAGCTGCCGGTTCTGCTGGTTGGCTGTTTCCAGGCGCTCCTAAGAGGCCAGGAAAGAAAGTGAGGAGGGACACAGGTTGCAGGCTTTCCCGTCAGGGGCCCAGCACTCCGACGCCCTCACCTGGGTCTCCTGTAACTCCTGGTGGGCCATCTGGACCGCCACCTTGCCCTGGACTTCCTCGTGCTGCAGCTGGTCCACGAGCTGCGTCTGCAGCAGCGCCTGCTTTTGCAGCCCCGCCTTCTCAGAGGCCAGCTGCTGATAGGCAGCCACATACCGCTGCAGGTGGCTCAGGTACTGGTCCCGCTGCTGCTGCAGATCCTGAGCCTCCTGGCTCTTCACCTCCACCTGCGGGAAGACCCTGGGGGTGAGGACAGGCTGTGGCTCGCTTCCGCAGTCGGAGCCCATAGACTGGGGAGGTTGGGCACAGACCCCTCTGCCTGAGGCAGGCACCGCGAGGCTCTGCTGGCTGCCCGGAGCCCCATGCCGCCTTCACCCAGCCCTCATAGCAAGCTTCTTTCTATCTTAACTTGAGGCCGCAGACGGGTGGAGAAGCAGAGCTCCAGCCGACATCTGTGAGGTGCACACTGAACGCCTAAGGCTTTACATGCATGATTCTCTAATCTCCAACACCTCTAGGAGGAAAATGATAACCTCCTTTTTTTTTTTCTTTTCTATTTTTTTGGTAGCTCCACACCACCATGCAGGATCTTAGTTCCCCGACCAGGGATCAAACCCGCACCACCTGCAGTGGAGTCTCAACCACTGGACCGCCAGGGAAGTCCCGCTAACCTTTTAAGATAAGGAAACTGAGGCTTAGAGATGCGAGGGCTGAATCCAGGGCTGAACCCAAGGAGCTGGCCACCGTACACCCTCTCTTCCCCTCTAATTAGGGGCTCGATGCCTCTAGCGGGGACAATGACCTATGGCCCAGGGCTACTCAACTCTGAAAATCAGAGGCCAGGGGGCAAAAAGCAGTCACAGGCTCTGAAGGACTCTGGGGTCACCTGTCCTGGCCCCAGGTCCCTGGCTCCCCAGAGGCTGGTGCCTATCTCCTGGCCCTCCCGCTGGGGCAGGGCTTACCGTCTCCTTCAGCTCTCCTAGCCTCCCCTGCAGCTGGTCTAGCTCCTTGGCCAGCTCCTTCTTGATGTGCTGCTCCGAATGCAGCGCACTGGCTATCTCCATGTTCTCGTTGGACTGCACAGAGAGAAGCAATCAGCAGCCACCCAATGCAGCTGGAGACCCCAGAACTTGGTGTCTGCCTCCCACAGCTCAGGGAAGGGTGGAGGCAGGTAGGAAAGTCTGCCCCTTCCCCCCATAACCCTCCGAGCAGGACTCTCCGACTCACAGCGTGCCTTCGTGGGCACCATTTCACAAAAGGTCCATATCACCCATTTTACAGGTGGGAAAACCAAGGCCCCAGACAGGTTAAGTGCCTCGCCCCGCCCCCAGAGGACTTGGCCAGGGAGGAGGGCAGGCTGGCCGCGAAGGGCTGCGCACCAGCCTGACGAATCCATTCTGCAGTTCAGCCAGCTGCTCCTTGAGCTCGCGGTTCTGGAACAGCGCGCGGCTGATGGTGGTGCGGTCGCTCTGCATGCTCTCTAGAATCTGCCTGCGCTCCTCGGCCTGCTGCCCCCAGCACTCGGCCGCCCGCTCCAGCTCCAGCAGCCGTTGCTCCTGTTCCTGATTCAGGCGACTCAGACTTTCGTTGTCCTTCACCTGAGCCTGCAGCTGCCGTGCCAGGCTCTGCAGTTCCTTCTGTAGCTGTTCGGCCTCCGCCTGCAGCCGTTGTTCTACCTCCGAGGGCCCGGCTGGGGGCTCCTGAGGCGGAGGCACAGCTGAGAAAGGGAGCACACCGTCAGGGCCTCTCGCCTCTGCAGTCTCCAAAAACCGGTTTTGTTTTGGTTTTTTTTTTGGCCGCA